GCGCGAGGGACGGCGGGTCGTCGAGGCCGTAGTGGCGCTTCGCGTCCTCGAGCTCGCCGAGGAGCGCGGCCGCGGCGGCCGCCAGCGCGGCGCCCGAGTCCGCGCGCGACGACCAGGACGCCGGCAGCGCGACGCGCCGCAGCGCGCGCTTGGCGGCCTCGCGCGCCGCGGCGTGCGCGGCCTCGAAGGTCGCCGGGTCCTTGAGGGCCGGGTCCGCCTCGTAGTCCAACAGGCAGTAGAAGTCGACGTCGCTGAGGCCCGACGACGTCAGCGCCGCGGCCAGGTCGGCGACGCGGCCGTCGGCCGACGCGGCCCGGAGCATGCCCACGGCCGCGGCCTTGACGAAGGTGACGACGTTGCCGCCCTTGAAGAGGAGCTTGACCGCGTCGGCGTGCGGCGCGAGCGCCGGCGCGGCGCGGAATTCCGCGGACAGCGCGTCGTTCGCGTCGGCGACGAAGCGCACGAATTCCGCCGGCGTGCCGAGCCCCGCCGTCGTCCGCTCCGTCAACGCGCCGAACCACTTGCGCTTGATCATCTGCCAGAGCAGGCGCCGGCGGAACGTCGCGAAGTCGCCGTGCTCCGCGAGCGCGCGCGCGGCGTCGACTTCCACGCCGGGGCGGACTTCCACACTTCTGGACGCGTCGCGCTCCATGAGCAGCGACTCGAAGATGAGTGACGGGTCCGGCTGCGGCGGCACCGAGTCCTGGCGCTCGAGGTGCACCGTGTTTTCGGCGATCTCGGCGGCGGGCGGCGCGATCGCTTCAGGATTTTTTGATAGCGTCGTCGACGGCGCTGGTGGCGGCGCGTCTGCCGAGTTCCAGAGGCTCGAGAAGGCGCGGGATAGGGCGTCCATCGCGGCTTCGACGGCTTCGGCGGCGTCGCGCGCCACGACCGCAGCGGCGCGGCGCGCGGGCGCTGCACCGTGCACGTGAGCGTCGCAGCGCTGCACGGAGCTTCGCGCGCAGCGGCAGCGCGAGCGAGCACTCCCGTCGGACGACTCCAGCCGCCGTCGCCGAGGCCAGCACCACCTGCGCCGCCGCCGCGTCGAGCACGCCGCCGCCAAGACGAACGATGCCCGCCGGGCGCGCCTACGCGCTGTCGCTCTACCGGCGCGCGCTGCGCGCCGCGTTCCTCTGCCCGGACCCGTCGCAGCGCGCGACGATGACGGCGTACGCGAGGAACAGTTTTCGCGACAGCGCGCGGCTCAGCGACGCGCGGCGCGTGGGCACGCTCCTCGCCGACGCCGAGGAGCAGATCTCCTGGTCCGAGAGCCTGCACCGCCGCCGCCGACACGGCGAGGACGCCGCCGCGGACGCGGCCGCGGCCGCGGCGCCGCCCGCGGCCGCGGCGCCGCCCGCCGCGCCTCCAGCGGACGGCGGCCTCGCCGCGGAGCTCGCCGCCTACGCGAAGAAGCACAGCCTGCCCATCGACGTGTCGCACTGGGACGCCGACGAGCTCGCCGGGCTGAGAGCCGCGGAGCTCGAGGGCCTCGGGCTCCACGCCGTCGAGGCCGTCCGCCTCGCGGCGAAGGTCCGGGGGCTCCTCGAGCGGCACCGATGACGCGCGCCCCCCGTTTTTCGTTAGATCTCGCGCCAGCCCGAGGAGATGTAGATGACCATGGTCGCGAGGAGGAGGACGCCGAGGAGCTGGGCCTGGTACTTCATGCGGAACCGGGAGAACTTCGCGGGGAGCGCGTCCTTCGGGATGGCGAGGATCTCCTTCGTGCGCTTGTAGCGCATGTAGCCCGTGAGCCAGGTCAGGTCCACGCAGCCGACGAAGAGGCAGCCGACGACGAAGTACGTCGCGTACCAGCCGCCCGACTGGTCGTCCGCGTAGTCCAGGATCGTGAACGCGCAGCTCACGAGCGACAGCGCCGTCCGCATCCACG